TGTGTTAAGAAACAAACAACACACCACAGAATGAATTACCTGCTGTTCTTCTCTTCACAGCAAAGGGAAAGCTTGCAGCACCTGCGACAGGGTCTGATGTCACTTCCTGTTCCTAAGAACGACTTTGAGATCGTTCTTCCTGAAAACGCTGAGAAAGAACTCGAAGAAACCGAGGCTGAGACGGGATTCATAGAAGACTCTGCAGATGTAGAAGCACGCAAGCAGGTGCGTGTACACACACACACACACACACACACGTAGTTTGAATAAGATATATCCAACAGGTTTACATTATGCCGTTTTCCAGGCTCAACGAGACGCTGAAAGAGAGAAGGAGTTGAAATTGCGGCACACTCCTGTTCAGAGGAGTCTCCCCAGACCTACTGAGGTAAAATTACAACATTAAAATAATTTAAATAAAATGCAGGAAAATGTGTATTTGAATGTAATCACCAAATCTTTCAGAAATCAAAGAAAAAATAAATTTCGTCTACTTTAGCTGGCATTAAATGGATCCAGTTGTGCTTATGATCCTCCGTGTCTGCAGGTAAACGAGTCTGTTCTCCGTCCCACCTCCATGGAGCCACTCTCTGACCTCCAGCAGGCCGAAGAGCTCATCAAACAGGAAATGATCACCATGCTGCATTTTGACTGCTTGCATCACCCTTCAGCCAATGCTGCCAATCAGCTGCAGCGCGGCAAAATCCGAGGCCCCACGTCTACGTCTAACAACGCGTCACATATTGCTTACCTGGAAAAAACCTCCTACAAGCCAATTAGCACAGAGGAGATGGAACAGGTAACCCGGCAGCACTGATGTCTCTGCTTTAAAAAAAGAAGTCCCTTACACTGTTTACACTCAGTAATTCTGTTTACCTGTGTGTCAACAAACAGGCAAAGTTAGTCCTGGCAGCAGAAATGGAGGTGGTGAAGGGAGGTATGGGCCACGGTGACCTCAGCATGGAGGCTTACAGCCAGGTGTGGGAGGAATGCTACGGACAGGTGAGCACCCATGGACCAAAAATGAGAAGTCAGAGAAGCATAAACAGGTGTAGAGATTTGTTACCACCTTTTGGTCAGTATATTTGTCATATTTCTAAATTAGAAGCTTCTAGTGTGTAGAAATACACATGGATGGAGTGTAGTGCAGTGCAGTCTAACCCAACTAGTTATTACACACCCAGTCTGCCTTCGATGGCACACAGCTGAGGTGTTGACTCTCGATCATTCTCCCCGAAGCTTAAGTGTTTTGAAGTGAGTTTCCTGAGGTGTGCAAGTCCACTGTGATCTAAAACACTAGTCTGGGCCTTGTGTGATTCTGTATCTTCTGTTTTTCACCCCCCACCTCCCCACTGGAATAATATGCGTTTCAGCAAATTGGGGTAATAACAATTTTTTTTCATGCTGTACTTGAGCAGTCCAAGCTCTACTAAAGTAACACCCTCACCTAAACCAAACGACGAATATACAGCAGTGAGGATGCATCTAAAGCAGAGTAGGCTTGCTGTGTGCCACCTTTAACAATATGCATTACATACACTTCTTTACGGTATGTGGGGAAACTGTTGTACTCGTGATCTCACGATATTGCTACCAATTAAATTCTTGTCTGTTGTTGAAACTGTTCATATTATCTGCGTCTGCACAGGTGCTGTATCTGCCTACTCAGAACAGGTACACCAGAGCAAACCTGGCATCAAAGAAAGACCGTATTGAAAGCCTGGAGAAAAAGCTAGATGTGAGAATGCACACAAAAAAAA